TAGGAGACCTATTTCAAAGAACCTCAGTTACTGTTGAAAGTGAGTAACCTTCTCTTCTTCTTTTTCTTTGAGGGCTATCTTTGTGGGTGCTCCACTTCATGTAACTGTAGTGCATTGCATTTCAGAAGGCAGGAGAGATTTAGCTTCATTTGAATCAGAGATAAGTATGGTTAGGCCAAATATGGTGTAAGCATGGGAGTCTTGAATGACTGCATTATTCAATGAATGTATCGACAGAGGCCCACCTGACCACCCTACAAATCTCTATCAGAATAGTTTTTAGGAATGCTATCGAGATTGAAACTGATCATGTGATATTCACTCTGATATTTGAAGGTGGGTCTCTGTTCTAAATATGATAGCACTGTTGAATGTATGTTGAGATGCAATTATAGAGCCCTGTGCGAATACGACGTTTGTATCCGCATCTGTACACACAAAAATGAGTCACATAATATCCGCAGATATAAAGTGAATATCTGTAAATTTGCAGGGTTATAGATAAAAAATGCTTGCAACTATAAAGCAGATATCTACGGATTTTCAGGTTTGTATGCATTTAGGCAAATCTTTGAGTTGATATTGTGCAGTCCTTTGAATACTCAGTAATAAAAATGAAGTCTAGGAAATATTCAGAAAGGTTTGGTCCTTTCCAGGTAAAATACTGATTAATGTCCAATGTATAGAAGATGGTCTCTGTTGGAGTCCCATGAGGCTTGGGATAGAATGTGGGAAGATTGATTGGTTGTTTCTTATGAAAGGATGATGTTAAGTTAACTGATGAGCTAACTGGTCCAATGGTGATCTGGTGAGGTATTTTAATGCCAAATTGAGGTCCCAGGCTGGTGTCAGATGAAGAATCTCTGGGTAAATGTTCTGGAGTAAGGATGTTAAGAGGTGGGTAATCATGTAGTTAATACAAATTGTATCAACTACATGATTAGTTGATAAGGAAAGGTGCCCAGAAGGAGCTACCCACGCTGTGGCTCTGCAGTTTAAATGTAGTAAGAGTTAGGCGCATAGGCAGCCTGACTAACTATATTTAAACTGCAGAGCTGCAGCGGAGGTAGCTCCTGGACATGGCACGAGCCAGCACTGAACCAGTCTTGCTCAATTCCGGCTCATGCCGGGTCTAGTGGTCCCTGTCCACAGGAGGTCCCAGTGGGAAGCTGGAACATCTTGTGGACATGGGCTGTTGCGGAGCAGTAGGTATATATGCCAACCATGTGGCCTGAAAGTCCTTTATATGTTTTTGAGGAAAACAGTTTATTTCGGTCAAAGGAGAGATGATCATAATGGTCCCTTCTGACCTAGAAGTCTATGAGACTATGAGTCTATGAGAGGTTCTTAAAAATTCTGAAAGAGCTTCAAATTCGGGACACTTGTATCCAGGAGAGCCTGCACATCACTATTGCCATTGCAGTGGCTGGTGCAGCTGGTTCTATGACATCTAGAGTAGACTGAAATGTTATTCACACTATTACATATTCCTCTGGTATCATGGTCTTTAGAAGGGGATGTTTCTGCTCTAGGAGGTCATCCATGAACTCTTCAAGTTTGGTATAATTTGTTTAGTCATAGTTTGCTAGCAAAGCTGAGTAATTGGCTAGTCAAAGCTGTAAGGTTGAAGGATTAATATAGTTTGTGGCTGAATACATCTAGCCTTTTATGATCTTTTTCGTGTGGGGTTGCTCGGAATTGTGACTGCTTGTTGCAGTAATTCATGGTGTTTACGACTAGGCAATTAGGCTGTGGATGAGAAAATAGAAAGTCCCCATGTCTTTTTCTGGCATGAAATATTTCCTGTCAGGCCTCTTGTCAGTAGGTGGCACGGAACGTAGGATTTGCCATATGTTGCTGGCAGGTTCCATAATAGCTTCCTTTATAGGAATCACAATCTTGGCCACTACCGCTGGTTGTAGTATCTGAAGGAGTTTGTGTTACTTCTCTTGAAACAGCGGGAGTGGTATTTCCTCATTTGCAGCTACCTTTTAAAGAGTTCCTGGAACTGTTTAAGTCATTGGTAGGTTAGGGTGCTGTTGGTATGACTGCCTCATCTGGGGATGAGGAGTTGTGTGGAGGAGAAGCCTCTCCAGTTTGGATGTCAGAAGTCTCATATTGGTCTTGGGTGCCCTCTTCATGTGTTTGAGGGTGGGATGCTTGGTTTTGATGGGGGTGAGTGACCATCTTGCTGGAGTAGAAGGACAGAATATTGGCTCCTATTATTGGCCCATGGATCCCATGGGGCTCATTGTATGTGGTAAGGCTGGGGTGGAGCCACCGTTGTCTGTACCATAGTTGCAACATGAAACATGAGAGGCTTCACTTGATGTGCATGCCAGTGCCAGGATGGTCTCCAGTGCATTGTGGAGAAGTATAAGGACAAGGATCTTCTCTTGCGGTAGTCTGTGTCTCCATCACCATGGATGGAGGATGGAGCAGGTGATAGTGGAGGGCAGTCTAAAGCTTGACTGTAACTAGTCAATGCCAAGGAATGGGGACTGCAGCACCTAGACCGCTTTATCTCTCTGTGTGGAGGAATTGAGATGGTGCCAGCATGTTTGATGTCATAGTTGTACCACATTCCACTGTGGTTGACATGGTTGGCAATGTGCTGGGTCTGGTTACCAGTGTCGAGTGGTGTGTCAGTGCTGGTGGCAGCAGCATCAGATGGTGCTTATTGATGATGCTGAGCTCTGTGCCAGAGTCGTCAGTGCCATGGAAGAGACTGAGTGTTCCAACTCCAACTTGGTGCCAGAAGAAGCCCATGCTAGGGCAGTGCTGGAAGTATCCCCTTTGTTCCATCTAGCTGAGATCGGCACCACTGGTAGAGTATCCCCAGGAAAATCTTTTTGATACTCCCAAGCTGAAGTCATGCTAGCCGTCCTATCAACTTTGGAAGTCGAGGCTTTAGCATTAGATGGAGTCTTATGCATATCTTCCTAAGGTGTCTACCTAGGTGGCTGAAGGGACTTCTTCATCAGGATCATTTTTAGGCAAAGTTCCTTGTTACACCTGGCTCTCACCTTAAGATTGCTGGAATGTGTGCTTCCCCTGGGCAGTGGACACAAGATGAATGGCCTTCAGAGATCAGTTCATGACAAGTGTCATTTCTTGAATCCTGGAGATCCCGGTATTGTTTTGGAATTGTTTTTGATAACCCTCCAAACTAGGGGGTAAACTATTTTCTACTTATCTATTGGGTATGAGTGAAAATCTTGAGGTTTTTTTTTTTTTTTTTGCAGAAAGGGAGAAAAACGAGGTTTGTGTTGAGTTATCTAAGATGTTTTCAACAACTAATTTAACCAATAACTCTAACTCTTTAGAGACATGAGGAGAAACATCAGTGTGGAGCTCTATCTGCACTAAGAGTGATAGAGAAGGAACTGAGGAGGGTTGGGCTATGAGCATATGTTGAGTGTGAATGCCACAGAACAGCTAGGACACATGGGGTCCAACTGACCACTGCTGTAAAAATCTCTGATCTTTAGCACCAGGACACACCAACACTTACAGAAGAGCACCCACAGGCACTACTCAAAGGAGTGCATGTAAGACCGATGTGGACACTGCTAGGGTAAGTCTCTGAATGACGGCACTGGGACATACCAACACCTGAAATGAAGCATCCACAGGGACAACACAAAGCACCAGAAATATTTTTGCTTAGGAAGCTCAACTCAATGCCCACTGAGGTTAACAGAAAGAGTGCTACTGACTTCAAAGGGCATTAGAGCACATTTATGAGCAGCAACTGGAATGTGCAATATAGGTCAATCATAAACAGACAATCAAGTGACTAATCAAGGTCAAATAGTGATTAATCATTTTTTAAACTATTTTTTCTAACCAGAGTTGGAGTAGCGTTTCATGAAAAAAATTGTATGTTCACATCCTACAATCAGCACAAGCAACCACATTTCTAATTGGTGATGTTTGAAATGTTTTGATATAATTCTATATTGCCTCAGGTCCTGACCTCTTCAGAAACAATATTGCACAAAGACAGAGACAATTGTGACCTGTACCGCTTTAAATGAAAGTGTGACCATGGCAGAGCTCTTATGAAACGGGCCTTCAATTCTGAAAGGCACTTACTCTGGGATCTGAAAACCATCTCTGATAGCTTTCAGGAGATAGTTACTTCATAACCTACTTTCCCAGTGGAGGTGGTCTGAATAGGGTGATTATTTAGACTGGAAGGACAAGGTCCACAGCGCGAGAGAGAGAGAGGCACCTGCCTACCACCTTAGATACCTAAATACAAATCCTAAAAAAAACCCAAACCAAAAAAACCCTCTGCTGGACCCTGTAGGTATCAGAATATGACATCCACTTCTGAGTTTCAGATTCAAATCATTGCTCCATAACAAGCAGAATGGAAACTTGAATCCTTTCTACCAGATCCCAGTGAGCGTTCTCACCAGTGGTGTTAAAGTTATGGGAGGAATTTTTCTTTTGTTTTTTTGTGAGCGAGGGCTTTAGCATCTATATCTAGGAGAATCCCAAATGGAAACCAAAGTCCCATTGAGGAGCAGAGCTAAAGACCCATCTCTCCCTTCAGCATGGCTCATTGGATAGCCTAGGCAGCTCGCTACTGAGCTAGCTGGCTCTTGTAGATCCCATTCTTCAGTGCCTAACTCTTCCCATGCATTAGATAGGGATCCTGGGTGCCCACCTACAGGCTGTACATTCCCCTATGTGGCAGAGTACCTAAAAGTTATGCACTTCAGCACTGAATCCAAGTCCCCTTTATGCATTTAGTCCTGAGCTATTTGGGGCAGGAACTAGGCCTTCCAATGCATCTATCATATTGGAGCTTTTATTCTTAATTTCATACTACTGTATGAAAAAAGGCAATGTCAGGAACAATTTATTCAAATCTTCACTGAGTCTCTTTTGTATGTCTTTGACTTAAGTTTCTGGGATATATTTTTAATTTTCACAAGCACTTTTATAAACTGAGAATAAATAAAGCACTAAAATAAAATATTGAACATTTGGTTAATACATGTGATTGTTCTGGTTGTACTTATATCTGTTTCTTACAAAGCTGCTGGCTTTTTTCTTTCATATCCTGATAAAAAAAAAAAAGCATGTTACATCATAGCTGTCTGTTTTTCACAGTAGAAAATATTGAATATGCATTCCTCGCTCAGTATAAGAGGTAGATACAAAATTTAAACAATTAAAATTTCATTCCATTTTCTCATCAGTTCTTAGTACCATATTTTCTGTAAATGAACAAAACGCTGTAATAGAAATTTTATTTACCAAAATATCCAGAAATCATTTACAGTCTCCTCTTAGAATGACAATTACATAACAAGGTACTTAATATAGTTTTACAATTTCAAGCATATTTTGTGTTTGATTAAATTTTGAATTTCCTGAGACATGCATAGCATTTCTTTAGGCTATAGTAAATTAAATACTGTGCATAGCAAAACATTCCACATTAACAACAGTGATAAGTGTCAGAAATTGTAGTGGTCATCAAACTGAAGTGCAACAAAAATTAAACTATTCTATGCTTCAAAGTACCTTAGAGCATATGTAGAAACATATAGTAATGAATGAATATATTTCTAACTCAGTAGTTTCTTAGTATAATAAATCTAATTTACTACAGTGAATAGCAAAATGTACTACAAATATCTTAAAACGGTGTTTTCCAACAATTGATTATTTACAGGTAAGTTTCCTCAATAACTTATACAAGTGGAGCATTTATATTTTGGTTGCTTTTTAACTAGATTAGGACAATGCATCTTGAGTCTCTGATATCCAGATTTTGGATCTTGATCCATTTTTCCCACAGGCAAAACAGGAATAAACTCTTCTGCCTTAAGATTGGGCGATTATTGCCATTATGCTTTTCTCTAGAATATATATGTACTGAGTCTTCTCCTTTCACCACTTGAAAATGCAAACCTAAATCCTTCATTTTTCATCTCTGGGTTAAACATGGCAGGCCTTTTCAAAGGCCTCTGGGTATTTTTGAGAGTTGTGCCCTGTAGAGAAAGCCTTTTACTGTCAAATGTAATTTCAGTAGAAGTTTTGCCTATTTAAAAACATAAGAATCAGACCAAATATTTTTCATGGATTTGTACCATTAGTGGTTCTGCATCATTATTCTCTTCTGTCTTTCATTGAATATGCAGTCTCACATGATAGAAACTGACTGGCAGGTGGCAGATGAATACCGTATATTCCGGCGTACAAGACGACTTTATGTTAAAAAACATCCCCCAAAAATCGGGGGTCGTCTTGTACGCCGGGTATACATCCCAGGCGCACCTGGGCTGCCCCGCCGCTGGCTTCCCCTGAGGCTTTGCAAAGCTGCTGCGGCTTTGCTCCCGGTGCCTCTGGTCAGCTGGGGACCGTCTCCAGCAGACCAGGGACACCGGGAGCAAAGGAGGCGGAGGGGCGCTGGGGTATAAGTGAAACCCTATCTTTTAATTAAAAAATTAGGGGGTCGTCTTATACGCCCAGTCGCCCTATACGCCGGAAAAATACGGTAAGTAAATTTTGGAGACCCAATCTCCTTTTATATACCAATTAGAGCAGCAGACAGTTCACAGAAAGAATCAATATGCCATGTTAGATATTGCATTGTCTCATGTAAAATACAATCTTAGAATTGAGGTATTTGATAGACAATGCACTTTCTACATTGTTACTAGTCTATTGGAAGAATCATGGCATTTTTGGCACACAGTTACTGTTCATAAACATTTAAGCATCTAGTTTTTTTTGTAAACATGATTATAAATGAACACTATGTACTAAAATGATTTGCTATGAGCTAGATTATGAGACAAATCTCACACACTGAATAGTACCTGGAAAAAGGGTGACAGAATCAGGCCACATTAGTAAACACACTTCTACAGCCAGATAGGAAAACAAAAGCACCTCATGTGTAACTGATTTAAGCGCTGTCCTTTACACACACACACCAAAATATTAACATCACAACAAAATCATAACACATTTTGTAAAATTCATGAGACATATCATGCTTTTTTATAAAAAACATATCAAAACCAAGATACTGTAACGTTGATTATATTGGAACTATACAGGATTTCTTAGAAATAAAGTTACTTTAAAAACAGATTTAAATCTGGACTAATGTAACAGATTGACAATATTTTGAGGTTCACAAAAAGTAATGATACTGAATTGTTTAACATGGATTACTGTAGAACGTTAGAACTTCTTTGCAAGTAAAAGAACCTGAACTAATGCTTCTAGATATTATAATAGTTTGCCAGAGATTTTTACCATGTGTTAAGTAGCATATACATAGGATTTTTTAGAAACAAAGTATGTCTGTTATTAAGTTAATACATATGTTTTGCATAAACCTAAAACACCAAACTATTTTAATTTGGTCCAATTGCTAAAAATGTATTAAATATGTCTCTATTTCCAACCACTAGCAAGAAAAACTATGTGCAATATATTTTTTCTGTAATACGTTATAAAGGGCACCTGAAAAACCCACGCAAAAGACTATCAAAAGGTATATATATAACATCAAAGTATACATTAGGTACACAGTGTATACAGAATTTCATGGTGAAAGTCAGTAAAGACTCCTGTAAAAAAAACTGGTCTAGTCTGTGACAGAATATTTGCACCACAAGACAAAAAAGAACTCTCCAAATAAAACCGATTGATCCAAGATTTAAGCTGTGAATTCAAAAGATGACGACAGCCATAAAGGGTTAACAGTATGTGAAAAATAGATACATGTGCTCTCTTGCCTAGAAAAAAAGGCCAGACTTTTTCAAATCTGTGCAATATACAGTAGACAAAGGTTCTGAAAACACAGAGGATGGATTGTGCTTCAGTTTAGGTATAGCTTACAAAAATAGATAAGTATATCAAAAAATTACTTGGGCCTGTCAGAATCTGAAGATTACAACTAAATTAACAGGGCCTTCACAGCAGGGGTGTTTAAGTGTATTATCTGGATTAAGAGACATTAATACCTAGCCTTAGAGAGCATTACCTGTATATTGTCATTATTGCTTTCCTCAACCATGATTGTTTAGTAGTATGTCACCAGTGATTCTAAGCATTTTTATGGAGCACAAAGATAATAGCAAATGACTGCAATTAATAATCATTTAAAGCTTTATTTTTGTCTAAATATCATTAGTGCAGTGTTATCTATACTGAATACTAATGGCAAACAATTGCTACATCTCACTGTAAAGATTTTAATGGCAATCATTGCAATGTGTTTTGAAATAGACTTGGGGAAAGGTGGAGGATACTACCAAAGTCCAGAGTGTAGGCTCATAAATAGATTGAGAAAGAATATCAAGATACTTACTAGGATCACACTGTTCAGCTACACTGACTTCTAGCTGAACATACTGCAAGGGCAGTTGTTCCTAAAAACTTGAAAAATAAAATTCTAATCTCTTTTCAAGGTGTTTGACTCTTTGGGGTTCATTGCTTACAAACTGTGAAGAAAGGAGATTCACTGTGTTTGCAGAAGTCTTCACTCCTCAACCTAATCTGATGAAAATGGTCTTTACTCTAAGCTATGCCTACGACTCCACCTACTAGAAAGTAAGACAGCTCAGCCACCCTCAAAAGACATAGCCTCTCTCCCACCCCCTCCGACATACACCCTATTTGCTTTTTCCAAGAACAGCAGGGAGTGTTTCAAGACTATTGGGAAGTCTCAAATTAATTCCAAACTTTGATATTTTCTACCCAGACAGTACATTAAATCCAAATCATAAAAAGGTTGTGGGATTTTGATTACAGTGGGAATCCTAGCCAATCTATGTGGTTTTGAAATTCCTAGCCAGGTACTTATTTGCATCTTTAAATATTTTAAAATTGGTTAAAATCCGCCATCCAGCGCTGATGTGTGATCCTTCGAGAACAATGTGGTTTGGTTAAGTTTTTTTTTTTTAAACTAGAGAAAGGTATCTTCAGTTTTATTCTGAGGTTACAATAAGTTCAAAGGTTTCCATAAACTGCATAAACTAGAGGGACCATACCAGTCAAATTTGAAGAGGAAATACTGTGGGGAAAATAGGCAATCAAAAGTTGATTGCAAACGGTCTAAAAAGTGCTAGTAAACAAGAGCTAAAAAGGACCTAAAGCTGAGAAAACTTGAATAAAACAGGTAAAGACTTCCTCTCTTCTAAACTTTTTCAGAATTCTCTGACTCCAGCCAATGGCAGTAGAGAAGGACATGGGAGCAGGATTGAGTACATAACTTCAGTAAACCACCTGAGGCAATGAGACAGAGTTTGCGCATGTGCAGTCCAACTAGGCATGGATACCTTAAATCTCTGGCTACAAGTGAAGGGGTGAATCAACTCCTAAAGCAGACCTCAAACTGGGACAGCACTTGAAGATGATCTAATGGTTTGAGCCTTTCCCTAGTTCATGTAGGAGGAATCATAAGCATCTCTTAAGTTGCTGAGACACAAAGCCAGAAATGAGAAAATTAATGAAAGGACTGTGCACTCTTACATTTGCACATTATATATATGTTATGATTTAGTATAATTTTACACTTACTCTGCCCTGGTATAAGTGACTATACAAGATGCAGGACAATGCTCTATTCTTTCTTTTCCAACTCTATTTTTATTTACATACATGCATTTCATCTGATACAGTGGGCACAACTTTCACATACATTAGGACAAATCTGCACTACACTAATGTCACTTAAAGCATCCAGTCCTAACCATTGTGAATGAGGCATAGAGATATGTCTAAACCATCTTCTTTTCACGCTCCTTGCACAGGGAGCTTATTCATGTAAAATGGTTTTTAGTCTGTGCCTTGCAACCCCTAATTTATGGAAACACTCTGACGGTCAGTGTAGTTTAGAATATCTTGAAGCTGCTCCTAACTACACTAGGACAAAAGCAGGACTGATCCCATCACTGGGAACCACAACAGGCTTCTCTGATGCCTCTTTTGTAAGCTATCCTCCATGTTCCTTGGCTGTAGCTGAGAATATGGTCCTGAATGTTCAACTTAGTACAGTGGACCTATGATAGTTACAAGTAAGTTGAAATTTCCATGCCTACGATGCTTGGAGCTTACTAACAGAATCAAGTAATAATCTGACATGAAATCTTATGTACAATCCTGGAAGTATAGAAGAATTAAAGAATTTCAGACAGTTTCCCTGTATGATAAGTTTGGTAAAAGTTGTCTTTATGCTATGGTGATACATTTCAGATCAACTCTTCCTTCTTTTACATTAGGAAGTCACTAACAAATCAACAATAACATGTCAATAGATTACATTTCAACATGTTTCAGAAAAATATTTTCACTTTTTCAATCCTGCATTGAGACTGCTTGGGCAGATTACTGGGCTTGCATCAGTTTACACAATGAATCACAATGTTGGATCAGGGCTTAAAGTAAATAATAATAAATAAAAAGCAATTATACTATGCTACAGATTAAGTACTTGCAAAAATACTCTCAAATTCACCACAACTGTAAAACCAAATAGCAAAGCCCGCATGGGTTCAAGATTGGGGATTTGCTCTATTTAGTATAGGATAAGTGCCAAAAATGCATTGCTAGGCAGACAATTTTTGAATGGTGTCTCAGAAACAATCACTGCTATAAATGAATGATTTATAGCATTTGAAACCTGAGAATCTCAGCTTTCAAAAAGGATTAAGCATTCATTTCTAGCCATGCCACATTATTAAATGTAATAACACTATTATCTTGCTTTATTTTCTCCTCATCTGAATTCTGACATGATTTTGATAGGTGATACCTTGAGTACTACAGGAAATCAATGAACTGTCTGAAAACTTGAAATCTCAGATTTCAAAGGGAAGTGAAAGAGACACATTCATTCTAGCGGCTGAAGGCTATGTGCTGCTAAAATCATGTAATAAAGGCTGCTCTAGAAAACGAATCAACTGTAGGACTAGTAAATATTTGTGATTTAATCCTTTCAACTTTTCCAAACACTGAATCTAGGTCTGCAATAAATAATAAAAAAGAGCTTATCCCTTGTAAACATTAAAGAAAATCTTATTTAAGAAACAGACTTTTCTTATGTTGAGTAATTTCACCAGAAATTCCCCTCTCGTTATAGGTACTATTATTTCTTCTTTGGTTTAAATTTAGTTATAAGAGCTCAGTGCATTTTGATAACACTCCATAGTTAACACAATGCAAAATCCAAATACAAGACTAATTTGGAATTAAACAAGCTGTCATCAATTTTTTAAACCAAAAGTTTTAAAAGCTGTACATTTTAGAACAATTTCACACCATTCTTGGTGGATTTACCATAGATAAGTAAACTGTTAAAGTAATCTCTTTGCTTGCTACAAGATGTACAAATGGTGTAACAATTTGATATGTTATTTCATGTACCACAAAGAATTTATCCTTTGAGGAATTATCAAGACACAACTAATTACACTTGTATTCAAATCTGAAACATACATACACACACACACACACACACACACACACACACATATATCTAAAAATAATAAATGTAACTATGCTAATTTCTGTCTCACTCTACTTGAGTCACCTTTGCATTATTCCAGGTAGAGTTTCTCTTAGCTTTACATACAAATTATGAATAAGTATTTAGCATTTCACAAAATATCCACCAAATACAACATCCAATAACCTAGAGATACCACTATTGGCTCACTATTATTTTAGCTTCTAAAAGGAGTCAAAGTTAATTTTAACTCAGGTACAGCAATAGGACCTACCACATTCAAATATTTTTTTAAAGTATAGTCATGATAAAAGACATCTTCATTGGCTGAATTAGAATCTCCAGTGTAACTTTCACCTTTCATATGGACAATTTATTTACAAACAAGGGTAGTGGCATCTCAAATAAGCCACTGTTCTTTTTCCTTACTATATTTCTCTGACCACTTGTGAGTGAGCTCCAGATACATAGTCGGTTTATGAGGCTTGTAATCCAGGTAAGTTACCTGTCCAGTTCTCTTAGGAACAGCTTTTTCAATCTGAGTCCCTTCATGCCATTCATTGAAAGAGGTGATGGAAATAATTTCTGGTCGCACCAAAAGTGCAGCACTGAAGGAAGTCTCATAATACTTCCCATTAACACGGTTGCGGGTGTTGTGGTTATTCCAGGGCCGAATGCTGGTGTCAGTGTACCCTGGCCCCACACTTGGAATGAACATTAAATTGTTGCTGTCACAAAAGGCTTTTAGAGTTGGCCAATTGTGATGAGATGAGCCATAAGAAAAACCATTGGTGGCAAAGTACGTATAAATTCCATCAAAACCACTTCTGTGGATATCATGTTTATGTTTTTCTTCCACTAGAAGTGCAATGAATAATCCATCATATTGTGTATTGCGAATGCTCTGGGATCCGGAAACAGTTAATAGATTTGCCCATATTTCAGGGATTGTTACATAAGAATCATAAACATAAAACATGGGCAAGTTTCTTCCTGTGCTGGTCTTATGCCAGTAAAAGGCTGGATGGCCTCCATATCTATAAGGCAAACAAAAAATATGGTAAATATTAATAAATAACATGCCAGTTGGAAATAAGTCATTCAAATACTGAATGGAGTACTGATTAATTGTAAAATTATATTTTTCAAGATTAATTTAATTGTTATGTTATCATACAAATATATTTTTATTCACATGCTGGAAACTTAGGGTGTGTCCAGACTACAGAGTTTTGTCGACAAAAGTGGACTTTTGTCGACAAAACTATACCTGCGTCTACACTACCGCTGAGTTCTGTCGACATAACGTCGACAGAACTCAGCAGTTTTGTCGACGCTGGTAAACCTAATTTTACGAGGCATAACGTCTTGTAGACAGAGTTCTGTTGACAGAAGGTGTTATTGCATGTAGGGTTGTGTCTAGACTACAGGGTTTTGTCGACAAAGCAGCTTGCTTTGTCGACAGAACTGAATGTAGTCTAGATGCTCTTTGTTGACAGAAGCTTTGTCGACAGTATCTGTCGACAAAACTTCTGTCGACAAATCCCTGTAGTCTAGACGTACCCTTACATTGCAGCAAGGAAACAACAATCTACAGCATACCTTAATTATTAGCATCAAGTCCTAGAAGTAGCTATATCTCTTTCCTCTCAAAGGCAAAATACCAATTTGTTGAATCAATATGAAATATACTCTTACGTGACAGCAATAAAACAAAACCAAAAATGAGTAGCTGCCCATATATTCTGACTCTCAGGCTGGACTGAATTTAAAGATATTTTGGGTTAGCCCATTAGAAGTTTAGCTGGCAACCTGTGTGCCTAGAACATTTTTTGTTAAATAAAATACAATCATCTAATGAGCTTAAATAAATGTAGTTACAGATGTCAGCCTGAGATATCATGAAGTGTGAGATCCAAAATGGCTAGTAATCTGGTTCCATAACTGTTGGCCTTTGAAATGTGTTGCACATATCCATTCCATTGTTAGTATTGGGTGTACCCAGTGCACAGCCATCAGAAACTTTTTCCCTCGGTGGCTCTTACTGGATTGCTCAAGCTTCCCCTGCTGCTGCTGCACATCAAAGCATGCAAGTATCAAGAGTAGTCTCACCTCTAGTCCCCCTCAGTTCTTCTTGCCACAACTCTGAAGTGGTGTAGAAGGGCAGGTCATGGAATGGAAATATGCAACATCTCACAAAATGAGTTATGGGACGGGTTAGTAATAAGTTTTCTTGGAGTGACTGCACACGTGCATTGTGCTCTTATCCTGCCTCCCGTCTTCCAGTTTGAGTTAGGAATCTATTTCAGTAAAGACTGGAGAGCAACTCATCCCATTCCAGCATCATTCCCAAAGTACTGAGCTACAGTACAATGGGAGGCAAACAGGCGGACTGAAGATCAGGCTGACACTTTTATAAATGTTTGTAAATGAAACTTGTGCCAGAAAGGCTGCCGAGGATGACACTGGCCTCATCAAATGAGTAGCAATTCTGTCAGATGGAGCAATATTAGCCAAGTCCTAGTACATGCATAGCCTGGAAGACATTCTCTGGATCGAGACTGAATGACCTCTAACTCTGTCTGCCACTGCTACAAACAGCTAGGAGGATCTATGAAAGTGACTTATTCTGTCATCCAAGTTAAACACTCTTCTTCCTCCTTGGTTGTGTTTTTGGTAGAACACAGGCAAATAAATTAACTGATTGACATGGAAAGGGGAAATCACCTTTAGGATGAACTTTGGATGAAGATGCAGGTAAAACTTTTCCTTTAAAAACAAAAACTGTATATGCAGATCTTTATATCAAGGTCTGCAGCTCCCCTATCTTTCCAGCCAAAATCACCACCACCAAAGATGTCACCTTTATTGACAGATGCAGCAGTGGCTCAGATGTGGGGAGAGGCATACGTTTAAAATCTCTGGGGAAACAGGGTCTTGAACTTGAAGATGTAATTTGTCTAAATCCATTAAAAACTTATCACAGGAGAAAACACAGAAACGATCCACTTTAGGGTGGAACAGTGAAGTAACAGCCAGATGTAGTTTGAGGGAACAAACCACCAAATCTTAGTGTTTCAAATAGAAGTAGCCCAAAATACGTTGAACTGAAGGTGGCCGGTGATACCACACTCTGGTAAAAGATAGACACATCCCTGAATTTAACAAGGTAAAAAGCCCTTTCAGAATGTTTTCAAC